GTTCTTTTTGAATAAATAATCTTTAAAAAAAAAAAAGTCTTAATGATACCATGAAGTTTTCATCACACATCTCAGCAGACTGTCTGCAAGCTAGGAGAAAATGAAAATGTTCAAAATGCTTAAAGATAAAAATTGCCAACCAAAAGTACACAGTCTGCCAGACACTCAAGTATATGAAATAAAGACCTTAAGAAAACAAAGCTGAATAAGGTTGTCAACACTATACTTCCCCTACAAGAAATGATGGAAAGGGCCCTCAGATTGCAATTGAAGAGATGAAAATTCATAAAAATATGAACAATAAAATAGAAAACTGAAGAAAAGTGTAGTAGCAAACTCTCATACCTCAATGATCACCCTGAATATAAATGGACCAATGATAAACTATCAAAAGGCACAGAAAGACTGGCTGGTTGAGAAAACAAAATCCAGTGTTCTGTTGTCTCCAGGAGACCAATCTGACCAATCTGATCTCCAAAGATAATCGTAGGCTTAAAATAATAGATCAGGAAACAATCCTAACATTAAATGGTAACACTTAGAAAGGCAGGGACAACCATACGTATAGCTGATAAAGTAGATAACAATACATCAGGAAGACAGCACTCATCAAGATGAAAGAGCAACAAGAAAATACAAAACAGCAAGTATTATCAACACTAACATTAACAGCAATACAATAGTAGTAGTGGACTTTAATACCCTGCTAACAATAATGGAGACATCCAGAAAGAAAAATCAACAAGTTAACCACAGCCTTAGTAGGGAATTAAAACAGAAGGGCTTGGCCCTCCCTGGTGGCGCAGTGGGTTAAAACATAGCACTGAGAAGCTAAAGCCACTTCCGCATGAGTTCGAATCCCACCTGCCTGGAAGAGATCCACATGGCGAGGCAGACCTCTCCTGACCCGCGCGCTGCTCCCCTCAGCAGTGTACTTCGTCGCCCTGCCTGTTCTGCTACCTTCTCTGTCTCTGGTGAATCCTCTGACCCTCCACATCTCTGGCCTGTACCCCAGTTCCATATGAATAAATAAATAAATCTTAAAAAAAAAAAACAAAAAAACAAGGGCTTAATGGACGTTGTTTATGGTGTACTACACCCCAAAAAACCCGAATACAAGTTCTGCTCAATGCACATGGAAACTTTTCAAGGCTGGTCAACACGATGGGTCATGAGATAAGTGCCCATAAATTCATGGTGATTATCTTTTCTGATCATGTTGGTATATTTTTAAGTTTTCTTACATAGTTGTTTATTTATGTACGTAATTGCCTTCTTCCCTCAGATGTAGTCCCCATAGTTCACCTACCACCATATCACCCGTGAACCATCACCATATTTCCTTTTGCCCTTCCCTACCCTGTTTTGACCCGTTGCCTGCTCCTTCCTTACTGTGTGCCTCAGATCTGTGGTCAGCTTACAAGCTTTGTTTCTAATTCTTCACCTTTTGTTAAGTTACTCTATAGTCCACATATGTGTGAATTCATACAATATTTAATCTTTTTCCTTCTGATTTATTTTGGTTAGCATAAAACCTTCCAGTTCCATCCATATTGCCACAAATGACATGCATTTTTCTTTTTTGATCAGAATCACATTCCATATATATATATATATATATATATATATATATATATATACACACACACACACACACACACCAAACTTTGATCTATTCACCTAATTTGAGGGACTTGTTTCCATATCTTCAGATATTGTAAGTAGTGCTGCAGCAAACATAAGAGTACAGGTCTCCTTTCAAATTAATGTTCTTGTGTTCTTTGGTTACTTTCTAGGAGTGAAATCACTGGATCATATGGTAGCTCCATTTTTAGTGTTTTGAGGAAACTACACAGCTTCCCATAGTGGCTAGACCAGTTAATATTCACACCAGCAGTGTAAGAGAATTCCTTTTCCACCACATTCCTCCCAGCATTTTTTTCCAATTTCATTTTTTTTTTAAAGATTTATGCATACAGAGCTGGGGTACAGGCCAGAGCTGGGTGCAGAGGCAGTAAGAGGATTTACCAGAGATAGAGTGGGGAGCAGAACAGGCATATTGACAAGTACACTGTTGAGGGGAGCAGTGGACAGGTCAGGAGAGGTCTGTTGCGCCATGTGGCTCACCTCTGGGGTGGGGATTGAACTCATGCTGAAGTGGCTTTAGCTTCTCAGTGCTGTGCTTTAACCTGCTGAGCCACCAGGGAGGGCCCTCCAGTTTCACTTTTTTAATGTGAGCCATTCTCACTGGTGTATGATGTTACCTCATTGGGTTTTGATTTGCATTTCCCTAATAACTAGTGATGTTGACCATTTTTTTCATGTGCCTGTTGGCAATTTGCATTTCTTCTTTGGAGAAGTGTCTTTTTAATTCTGCCCTTTTTTTTTTTTTTGACTCATTTGCTTTGTTTTTGTTGTGTAAGTTCTTTGTAAGTCATTGATATCAGTCACTTATCTGCTGTATGGTGTGCATTTTCTCCCATTCAGTAAGATGTCTCATCATTTTGATTACTGTCTCTTTTGCTGTAAAGAAGCTTTTTTGTTTGATGTAATCCCTGCTGTTACACTTCTGGAGATTGATTCTGGAGATGAATCCTCAAAAAAGTTTCTGAGATTTGTCATGGAATGTTTTATGTTCTCCTATATTTTATGGTTTCAGGTCTTATTATTTGTCTTTTATCTAATTGTGTTGACTAGATATTGTGTGTGGCATGAGATAGTAGTTTGACTTTATTCTTTTTTTTTTTTAAGACTTATTCGTACAGAACTGGGGTACAGGTCAGAGATGTGGAGGGTGAGAGGATTCACCAGAGACAGAGTGGGGAGCAGAACAGGCAGATCGACGAAGTACACTGCTGA